GGTGAAGTGATGTTTCTATTTTGAAATTTCTGTCCTAGTTTCTAAAATGGTTGCACTAGTTTATATTCCAACCAGAAACAGTGTACAAGGATTCCATTTTCCCACATCCTCACAGTATTTAGTGTGCGTGAGTGTGTGTGTGTGTGTGTGTGTGTGTGTGTTTTCTTAATGATAGCCATTCTGACTGAAGTCAGATGAAATCTCTAAAAGTTGTTTTGATTTGTATTTCCCTAATGGCTAAAGATATTGCACTATGACCTTTTGTACTTCTCTTGCCAAATGTCTACATTTGTTTCACTTGTTTGTTTGATTTGGTAATTTCCTTTTTGGGAGCTAATTTTTTTAGTTCCATGTATATTATAGTTATTAGTCCTCTGTAAGAAGGGGTAAAAATTTTCTTCCATTCTGTATGTCATCTCTACACTCCATTGATTCATTTGCTTTTCAAAATTTTATGTAATCCCATTTGTCAATTTTTTGTATTGTTTTTCTGTGCTCTTGGAGTTCTATTCAAGAAGTCTTTCCTTACACCTATGGTTTCAGGTGTTTCCCCTTTTTTTCCAGCAGTTTCAAAGTGTCTGTTTTTATATCTAGGTCTTTGATCCATTTTCATTTGATTTTAGTACAAGGTGAGAGATAGAGATCTAGTTTCAATCTTCATCAAGTGGATATCTAGTCTTCCCAGCATGGCTGGTAAAAGAGGCTACTTTTCTCCAATATATTTTTATCCCTTTTGTCAAAAATCAAATGACTGTAGGTGCATGGGGTGTTTTTGTCTTCTGTTCTATTCCACTGGGCTACATGCATGTTTTTTTAAACATGCCTATTTTTGTGGCATGTTATTATAGTTTTGTGTGTGTGTGTGTGTGTGTGTGTGTGTCACTGTCACTGGTGGTTGAACCCAAGGCCTTCATGCTGAGCTACATTACCAGCTCTTTATATTAGTATAACTCGTTAAATTGCTCAAGCAATATGATCCTCCTGCCTTAGCCTTCCAGGGTATGAGACTTCTAGGTGTGTGTGACCATTTGGGGCACTGTACCTTTGTAGTAGAACTTAAAATTTAATATTCTGTTGCCTCTAGCTTTGGTTTCTTTGCTTGGGATTGCTTTGGTTATATTGGGTCTTTTCTGATTCCACATGAATTTTAGAGTTTTCTCTTGTTCTGTGAAGAACGTTGTTGGTATTTTTTTTATTTTAAAAATAAAAGGAGGAAAACATTAACAGACAGACAACCTTTTACAAAATAGCAGAAGAACAGTACAGACAATACAGAGTTACAAACAAAGTGGTAGGAAATTAACAATGCTTCTTGTATTACATATTGATATCTTCAAAGTGGTTTCTCATGGAAACAGATAGAGACAGGCAATATTGATCAATCAAGGACTCATTGACAGTTTCTTTCAGCAAAGAAATAGAAGACAATAGAACAACTATGTTAACTATCCTGTATACACATACATGCAAAATTTCTCCTTCTTTCCCTTCTCTTTTCCCACATCCCAGTTGCCCTTTATCCTTGAGTGTTTTCCTATCATTTCACAATGTCTTTCATACCTCCTAGTTTAAACTGTTGGTATTTTAATAGGGATTGAATTACATATATAGATCACTTTTGATAATATTGCCATTGTCACAATATTGGTTCTTCCAATAGAAGAACAAGAGATGTCTTTCCATTTTTCCAGTGCCCTCTTCAATTTCTTTATTCACAGTACTGTAGTTTTCATTATAAAGGTCTTTTACTGCCTTAGTTAGGTTGATTCCTAGGTTTGTTTTTTTTTGTTTTTTTTTGTTTTTTTTTTTAGTTATTGCAAAGTGAATTGTTTTCTTTATTTCTTTCTCTGTGAATTCATTATTATTGTACTGGGACACTATTGATTATCATGCATTAATTTTGTATCCTGTCACTTTGCTTAATTTCTTTATTAGATCTAAAAAGGCTTCTGGTAAAGTTTTTTGGTTTTCTATGTAAACAATCATTATCTGCAAATCGTTATAATTTGACTTCCTCCTTTCATATTTGTATCCATTTTCTCTCTCTTGCCTAATTGCTCTGGCTAAAGCATCAAGTATTATATTGAACAGTGTGTGTTAAAGTGAATACCCTTGTCTTGTTCCTGATTTTACAAAATGTTTTCAGTTTTCTCCAATCTGATGATGCCTGTGAGTTTGTCACATTTGGCTATTTTGGTATGTAGTAAGGTCCTTCCATAATTACTTTCATCAGAGTTTTTAACACGAAAGGATTTTGGATTTTTGTCTAAGGCCTTTTCTGTGTCTGTTGTGATTTTTATCCTTGATTCTGTTAATGTGGTATATTACATTTGTTGACTTACATATGTTGAACAACTCTTGCATCCCTGGGTTGAAGCCAACTTGCTCATGATATATGATTTTTTTTGATATAGGGAATCAAACTCAGGGCCTTGCACTTGCCAGACAGGCACTTATGCCACTGAGCTATATCCCTGGCCCAATGTATGATATTTTTATTGAATTGTTGAATTCTTTCTGAGAAATTGTATAGTGTGTATCTGTGTTCATCAAGGATATTGGCTTGTGGTGTTGTGGTTGCTGAATCCTTATCCCATTTTGGGAATCAGGGCAATGCTGGCCTCATAGAATGAGTTTGGAAACATTCCTTTCATTTGATTACATAGAAAAATTTGAGGAGCATTGGTGTTACTTCTCTAAAGGTATTGAAAAATTTTGCAGTGGTTTCTGAGCTTTTCTTTATTGGTAAAGTTTTTATTACTACATTAATGTAATTGCTTATTATGGATCTGCTTAGATTTTTAAATATTTCTTTGTTCATTTCTTAGTAAGTCATGTGTCTAAGAATTTACCCATTTCTGTAAAATTCTCTGATTTATTGGATGTAACTTTTCAAAATAAATATCTTCTAGATTTCTATCTAACTTCTAGATTTTGGTGTCTGTTATGACCTTGCCTTTTTCAGTTCTAATTTTGTTAATTTGAGCATCTTTTGGTAAGTTTGGCTGAGGGCTTTTCATTTTGTTTATCTTTTTAAATAACCAACTCATTAATTAATTGATTCTTTGTAATTTTTTAGTTGCAATTTCATTAATTTCGTCTCTGATCTCTATGATTTCTTTCCTTCTACTGGTTTTGGAATTGGTTTTGTTGTTACTTTTTTCTAGGACCTAGAGATGCAAGATTAGGTTATTTGTTCTGAAGTTCTCTTTTTCTAATATTGGTACTCATAGGCATAAACTTCTCTCTTAGAACTGTTTTTATTGTGTCAGATTGTGGTACATTGTGTTTCTATTATTATTTGATTCTAGAGATCATGAATTATCACTCCTGTCTCTGTTCACTTGATTGTACTCATATCTATGTGCTCAGGCCATATTTCTGTCCACAGTTAATACTCAAAAAAATGCTGAATTTTTCCTTTTACTTACTACACATGAAAGAAATACTCTCTCTCTTATGCACTGAGCCACTCTTCATTCAGTGCCAGAGCACATTATTTCAGTTACTTTACTTATTTTGCTAGGTTCCAATATTTCACCTGGTTGCTAACTCTGAACATGCAGTCCTGTGATTTCCTATGTTACTTCTGTGTCCTAACAGAATTGCATATCTGATGGTTTTGAATGAATATTCTGGAGTAGCTTGTAAGTGCAGGCTTCCCATCATTTTGTAAACTGTCTGAATTTCTGCATGTAGATATTTAATAATTAGGAAGTATAGCCACTGAGACACATTTAAATTAATATTTAATTTTGATTTTGTTCTATTTAAGGTTAAATGTATGTATTTGGAAATGAAATAAAACCATGCTATTATAGCACCCATTTTTTGGGGGGGGGTGGTTCTCCAGTACCGGGAACTGAACTCATGACCTTGCGCTTGCCAGGCAGGCACTTTTGCCACTGAGCTAAATCCCCAGCCCCTATAGCACCCATCCTTATTATGCATGTGATGTGAAATGGTTTACCAAGTGGGTGCTACCCCACACTCTTAGGTTAAAAGAAAGCAAGGTAGCAACTCTCGTTGTTCAGTTTACCAATCCTAGGCACTAGATGTTTATGATATCACCATTCTTCTCAGCCAGAGTTTACTTCTAACTATATTCATTATTGTTATACCCTATAATAACCAGTTGTACTTAAAATACAAGTTGTGGATAACAATTATTATCCACTTACAATATGATAGGCAGTATGCTGGCTTAATCTGTGCAAAACCCTATGAGGTTGAGTTAGACACAGAATTTTATCATTTGTTCCATTAATCTTGCCACTTTCTGAAAAAGCTCTGGAAAATTTCTTGTGTGAGTGTTTTTACAAGGTATCATCAAAAATGATAAAATACATCTAGTAAATGTGAGTCAAGATTTAAATCCATGTATCCCATCTTTTCTACTATGACCCTATCATATATACTCTCATTGTGTAATTTGAGCTTCACAACAACCTCCTGCAGAAGATAAGACAGGCTCTTATGTCAGCTTTACATTTTAAGAAAACATAGTTTGTCTAAAGTTTTATAACCTATGACTGGTGTCACTGAACTTGGACTCTACTTCTTCTAACATCAGCCAAGAGCAAAGAAATTACATGGAGAGATGTTTAAGAGGAAACTCCTTTAGGAAAGGGCTCCAGGGTGGAAAGACTGAGGAAGGTGGATCAGGCATCTCTGAAAATAGCATAGCAAGAGAAGATGTTGCCAGAGACAAAATACAGTAGCGGCCATCCACCTGTGCCTTGTGTGGCACCCAAAGGTGGAGAGGCTGGGGTTGAATATAGATTTTGCCATTTTCTTGTTCTGTGGCCTTCAGCAAATCACTTCCTTATCTAAACTTTAGTTGTCTCCATTAAATGTGAATAACACTTATCTACCAAGATTAGAATCCAATGAGGTCATGAAGGTAAAAGGTATAATAACTGCTTAGCACAAAGATGCTATTTAATAAAAGCTACTTTTCTTTCAAGTAGTGTGATCTCTTTCTCTCTCTCTTTCCATAGCATTTGTCTAGCCGGCAGAGTGTACAACAGAGCACATCCCAGGTAAGTGACTTCCCAGGTCTTCCAATCTTTTTCTTCAGTTCTTTCATTTGAGAGATCACAACATCTGAAAGCATTAAGAATGACAGACACCTGTAACTGCTTCATTGTGTGCTGACTTTCTTCTTGCCTTGACCTCCGAGCAGATTCAGCCAGTCTCCATTTCTGTGTGCAAATTTACATAAACACAATTACAAAGAAGTAGACCAAGACTGAAATGAATCAGTTTGAGAGAAAATGAAAATGTTATTTAGGATAGTAACTATTATCACTGGTAACAGTGTAAGTCAAGTGCATCAGTGTCATAACAGCTTCTCTAAGAAATGACTTTGAAGATTGTTCTCTAGAAAATTTAATTTGTGACTTGGAGAGTTGAGTTTGCTTGTAAGTCAGAATTTCTGTTCCCCTCTCTCCTGCAGACTATTTACTCTATCCATCTCCTTGCCTGTCCATCTCCACCAAAGGCTATGGCACAGCAACCCTTACAGCAGAGAAAGCTTCTTCAGTGTCACAAATATTACCCTAAACATCATGACAAAACTTAGTAATCTAATTTTTTATTTTATCGTTAGTATTTACAAATGGAGATTGCTGATGTTTGCCTTCCTCATTAGGTGGACACGATGCGCCCACGTCATGGGGAAGCCTGTCGAATGCCAGTGCCGCATCACTTCTTCCTCAGTCTGAAGAGTTTTACCTACAATACCATTGGGGAAGACACTGATGTCTTCTTTTCTTTGTATGACATGAGAGAAGGCAAGCAGATCAGGTAAGAATTACGGGATGTTTTTGTGAGACTGAGACTCTGTATTAGGATGATGTGGATGATAGACATCTCTGGCTTTCAGAGAGACACATGACGAGAGTGAGGCAAAATAAAATAAACCGGCTTTGTCTTATTAGCTGGGAATTTGGCCCCAATTCTCAGTATGCTTTGAAGTCGTCTAAACCATACCATGTGTGGACTCTTTTTTCTTATGCCTACAAGGGTGATTGAAAACTATTGTGAATGTGTACATTAAAAATAATTTATAGTAAAAGACACATTACCATTAATACCCCTCCAAATAATCCCTTTCACTTTGAACACACTTGTTCCATCAATCTTGCCACTTTCTGAAAAAGCTCTGGAAAGTTTCTTGTGTGAGTGTCTTTACAAGGTATCATCAAAAATGTGGCAGCTGCTGCTCTTGGGTGCCGTTCAATGGAAAGGTGGGTTTATAAAAACTTCATGGGTGTCCTCATTCCCTTTATTCACTAGAGGTGGTACCTTGTGAGTTCTTTCTCTTCCCCAAAGCCAAAATGACCACAAAAAGTAAATTTTTTCAATTGATTCAGGACATCAAGGCAGCCACGACTATGCAACTGAAGACAGTCATGAAAGAGGGCTTCTAGAACTACTTCAAAAATGGCAAGAATGATGGGATAAGTGTGTTTGACACAAAGGACAGTATTTTAAGTGGTATTGATTGCAGTGTGTCTTATAGTAACCATTTTTAAATTTAAACCCATATTGTATTCTTTTGTCACACCTCATATTTCTACATGGAGACTCACAATTAAGTTTTGGATCACCACTTGAGGGAGAGAAAAGTGTGCATCTATTCTATCCCAGAGAAAAGCAGGTGAGAAACATAAAGTAAAATAAATGTGGCAGAGACGCCAAGCCTAAGCACACAGGAAATCCTGGGCCCTAGGCTGCTACATGTGAGTGAGAGAAAGAGGCTGATATTGTCCTGTCTAGGGATATCTGGAACTCTTGATAGGTGTCTAGCCTTATGAGAGAAAGAATGCCTTCTGGACAGAGAGAAAAATTGGTGTATGTTTGTCATTCCTTTTATACCTAGGATTAGAGTAGCAGCAACAATAAGGGCTGCCATGCAGTAAAGTACCTTTGTTGGCAGAGCACTGGAGCCCTTAAGCAGTGGCGCTTTCTCCCTCAAAGGATAGGGAGGAATGAAGGAGAGTCTAGGCATCTCTTCTTGTAGAGGACACAAAGTTTTGATGATTTGAAATGAACTTCGTGGTCAACATAAAATGTTTTTAGAGCATTCAGACTTTTCTGTGGTCTTCTAAGTGGAGTAAAGGTAAAGTAAGTTTTGGGTTTCTTTATATTGCTTTGGAATTTCTTGTGATATAGTGCTTTTTAGAGTTTTTGGTGGTTTTCTTTTTCAATTGCATACTACATGTGGGAAAATTTTAAATGGAAGTTATAAAAAGGCATAACAGTTCATTTGCATTCTATAGAGTGCCTCTGATTGTGACAGAATTAAAGCAGTATGCTTTACTTTGACATGGGAATAAAACTGTTGATCAGCGGATGTAAGTTTTTCTTGTCAATGATTCCTAGTATGTGCCCCTGGGAAAACTGTTGTAGAGCAGATAGTGGTAGTGTTGATGGCAGCTACAACTCCTACACACAGGCAAAAAACTACAGGCCAGGGATTCATGGATATAGATTCTAGCTGCTCTTATTTTTCTACCAGATAAAAGTTTTGTAAGTTTGTTGTTTATTTCATATATGTGTGAGAATCATTTATTCAAACCAAATATGAGAAAGTTCAGTGTATGAGACAGGTAAAATAGATCCATTCCATTATTGAAAGAGATAACAGAAATATCACTATGCTCATGTCCCTACCTAACACCCTGTGGAGACACTGAAAATCCATGAGTTGCAGTTTGGACATATTACCGGTATTTTGTCATTCGTGAACACTGCACCTTTGTCTTTTCTCACTGTAACCATGTTATCTTGCATGATGTCTGCCCAGCAGAAACACTGCACTGCTCTGGCTTGTTATCTGTGTGGGGTTATCAATGCACCAGTTATTTTATCTTTGGATTTGTGTTAATTTAGCTTTGAGAAACTATAAAGCATTTAAAAGAACAACTATTTTTAAAAAAAATTTTTAGTGTTTTTCAATGATTAAGTTATTGGACATTGGAAATAACTGTACAATCTTCCCATTCAAATAAGCACACTATCAGTCCTCAACTGAAAATATCTATTTACTTGAGTTTTCTTAAACTGTTAGTTTTCAGAGTGAATTTCAAAGCTAGATCTAAAATCATGTTCTAAATTATGTTCTAAATCATGTTCTAAATTAATGTTCTTCCTTCTTTCTTGTTAGCATTTGCATGGTGGCATGAAAAGTCACAACTTTAGAACACTGAGTTAATATTGACAGAGAATTTGGTTTCTCTTATCATTATGAAATAGGTCAGATACTACTTTCCTGAGGTGGTTTATTAGAAATCGCTAAAAGTTAAGGATGCAGTGATATCAGGTGTGTGGTGTAACATCTGACACAGTACTGACACACTTTAATTGTATTCTCTCATACTGAACTTCTTGTGTGACTTTCCCATCTAATGGTGCTCGTCTAGTTTGCATGATTGCCAAGATGTTCTTGCCTCTGTGCAAAAAACACACATGAGCAGGGAGAGTAGGGAGAGAGAAGTGCAAACATCTGTCCATTGTCTCAATGATGATTCCATTGGCAAACTTAGGTAAAATGATGTATTGAAAATTCATATAATACATATTGACTCCTAAATATGAGGCTGTCCGGGGGAGGAAAGAAGCAGCAACTGGCAGGATGTTGGTAGCTCTAACTAGGTTTTTCTGGCATTTCATCATTCAGAAGAGAAAAAAGTATTTAGCCATGACAGCTAAATATCTAGCTGAGACCTTTACTCTGAGTGTCAGGTAATTGTTTTCTTTTTTTCTACCAGACACATGCCCATGGATAGCCCTCAGATATTTCTACCTCACCATACCTAAATGAATTCATTTTCTTTTATTACATGTACTTTACCTGTGATTTTTTTTAATTTTAAAAATAAAAGGAGGAAAACATTAACACAGAGACAACCTTTTACAAAATAGCAAAACAACAGTACACGCAATATAGAGTTACAAACAAAGTGGTAGGGAATTAACAATGCTTGTTGTTTTACATATTGATATCTTCAAAGTGGTTTCTCATGAAAACAGATAGAGACATGCAATATTGATCAATCAAGGACTCATTAACTGTTTCTTCCAGCATAGAAATAGAAGACAGAAGAACAAGTATGTTAACTATCCTGTATATACATACATACAAAATTCCTCCTTCTTTCCCTTCTCTTTCCCCACATCCCAATTGCCCTTATCCCTAGAGTGCTTTCCTATCATTTCACAATGTCTATCATACCTCTGAGTTTAAAGTAACTCTTTCAGGTTTTACACTAGAGAAACAATGTGGTGCTTACACATGTACGTTTGATTTATTTCACTTATGAGTATGGTCTCTAGTTGTGACCATTTACCTATAAAAGCCTTGAGTTTATCTTTCTTTACAGCTGAGTAATATTCCATTA